AACAGGGACTGTCTTCCTGCGTGTCTGCAAAGCCCTTCATGCCTCGGGGTCCCAGCCACAGCTCCCATCCGAGACCTGTGGTGAATAAACTGTCAAGAGATGAATGTGAAGGAGCAGCTGTTCTGCTCTCTGAAGAACCTCAGTACAAAGGTGCCATGAAGCTCACCTTGCCGCTCCCCAGTGCCATGCCATGTGTGGTTACTCCCAACCACCTGCCAGCAGCCCAGAGAGCCTGGGGTCGGTGCGTCCTTTGCTCTGGTCCTGTCCTTTGGCAATAGAAAAGGAAGTCTGAGGTAGGAGCTTTGATGTCAGAGAATCTGCCTTCCTAGTGCTTGGGCCTCATGCAGCATCCCTTGAAGCCAAACTAATTCGTACCTGCGTCTGGGCCTCCGAGTGTGTTCCTACAAGATTGAGTTCTGCTGACAGCAGCTCTGTTGTACCTGAGGACCTTGTTGGTCAAGTTCTTCAGGAATGGTCTAAAAATACTGTAAAAATATAAATATATTTAATTACATGTACTGAAAACAGAAATCCTATTTGTTGTGGTCAGAGTTCAGATTACTATGTGAGTTTTGATTTCGTAGTCGTACCTGCATATATATTGCTTTAACTATGTTGTATGAGAGAGGAAGTGATTCTAAAGTGTGTGAAAGGTCAGGATTACACCTGTATTTGTAATGGTTGTGTTATTTAGGAATGGATATCAGTGAACTTAACTCCATATTAATGCAGTTTTTTTGCATTAGAATATGTGTGTATATCATACACCTGCATTTTATATATAATATATTATATATTTGGTACTAACTTTGTATTTCCCCTGAAATTTGCCAAATCTTGAAGACAAATGTTCTCACTTGTAAGACTTTGGTACTTAATAACTGAATGTATATGAAATGCTCTGGTATGAAAGACAGCAATGTTGTAGAGTTCCCCACGATACAGATGTCTCAACCAGCAGGCATGTTGCCTTTTTTTGCGTGTTACATCTCAATCCACTGCAGCATCACCTTATGTCTCATGAAATATTGTCTGTGTTTTCCCTAAACTGCAGAGCTGCCCTTACAATACAGCTGACAACAGTTCTATCATGTGTGCTGGCTGGTAGGAGTAAGAATACAATAGTCACCAGTGTGCCACAAATGCATTTATTAAATGCAGAAATACACATTTCTACAAAGGCCAAAATCTTATGTTGTATGTTCCTTTCTTGTCATTATATTGTATGATATTGTAAGATTATTGTATGTCCTAATTTGCATTATAAAATGTTTTTCCTACTTAAAGGCATAAATATAGCAACTTTGTATAAAGGTAGCTTTCTAGATTTTTATTTCTTTTATATAAAAAAGTCTAAACAGTGAGAGTATCATTGCCAAACTGTTTATAAAATTTCAGTTAATTTGCCCTGTTTGAATTTGTTTTTACAAACATTCCATATTTCTTTTAAGAAAATTATATTATACTATGCAGAAAGAGTGTATTTTTATGCCATTCCACGTTAATCTTAAAACAAAAAAACCTTGAAAAACATTTCCCCCCTTGTTTTAAGCTATCCTTACTGAGAAAGCTTACCAAATGTTCATTTTTAAAGATGTATTATGTATTACGACAACATTTTCCCCTTTACCAGTGCCAACTTCATTTGGAAAAAAAAAATAATAATTGTAGCATGGCAATAAACTATTGATTTTACATTGAAAATAATGTGTGGGTTACTTCAATAGTTACTACTGTGAGTGCTGATGCATACTGCATTAGTCGCCTTTTTTGCTTTTCTTCAAATCACCGCTTCAAGGCAATGATCAATAGCTATTTTTTCCCTCTAGTATTCCATTCAGTGCTGGGAAGACAATCCAGAAGACAGTGACCCGGTGTTTGTAAATTTTTCTACAGGCTTTTGTTTCCTTTTTGTTAGAGCTCTGTTCCTTTCTTCTGCCCATAGGCCTGGATTTTTGTTGTTGTACTGCTGCTATCTGCTACTTGTTAGCAAATCACCATCAAGTTATTAAATGACTAAGATTTAATAAAGCCTGAACTTTTTTTTTTTTAGCGTTGTACCCAATGATTTCAGAAAGCATAATAGGAAAAATAAATACAAGGTTGAAGCCCTGTCCAGATGGCCTCTACGATTTCCTCCAGAGATGATAAAATGTAGTGATCTTGTCCTGCATGATGCAAGATTTAGATTTGTTTGAATTAGTCACTAATTTATCGTAGAACTAAACTATCATACAACAAAATTATCATACAATGGCTTGACTTGGAAGGAACTTAAAGACCATCTAGTTCCAAGCTCCTGCTGTGGGCTGGTTGCCACCCACCAGCTCAGGCTGCCCAGGGCCCCATCCAACCTGGCCTTGAACACCTCCAAGGATGGGGCATCCACAGCTTCTCTGGGCAGCTGTGCCAGGGCCTCATTACCCTCACAGTGGACAATTCCTTCCTTATATCTAATCTAAACGAGCCCTCTTTCCGTGCTATAATAGCTAAAATGAGCTATTACCCCATGTCCTGTCACTGCACTCATTGACAGAGCGCTTTCCTCTAGGTCCCTGTTTAGGTAATGGAAGGCTGCACTGAGGTTTCCCCAGAGCCTTCTCTTCTTGGGCTGAGCATATCTCCATAGTCTCCATAGTAAAATCCGAATAAGTGATAAATGAAATTAATAATGTGACGGATGTAGTTGCTAAAATATCATGCAACTGATGTAATCCATCGCTGTTACCAGTAAAAATATGTTGTGTTCTGAAATTTTGAAGTTGACTTACATGATGTTTAAAAGCCAATTCTCCACCAATAATGCTACAGACTGCTCTTGAAAGCACAATAATACATGTGTTATTCTACAGCATCCAAAGGGCTGGATTTTGTGATGATTGTTTTCCCTGAGCGTTGGGCCTGCACTGGACCTGGAGCTGAGGGGCACAGAGCATGCAGAACAGTCGGCTCCAGAGCTGAAACGTGCAGCATAGCCTGCTCTTAGACAGTCATCCCATAACAGGGTGAGGTGAGAAGTAGTATCAGTTTAAGGAGCTTCTGCTTGTAGCAAAATACTGCAACGAGCAGAGATCAGAAGGTACAGCTTCAGCATTGGCATGATCTGCTATTGAGTACGTATGTGTATTTTTAAGTGCAAATAATCTTAGCTGAGAAGGTTATGTTGGTTATTTGATCTCTGGGGTTTTCTGGGGGTTGTACTGTGAAGCACAAAACTTGTCTCAGTTCATGTTAAAACAACCCAGAACGCAGCTCATTTATATAGCTCAACTTACACCACGATAGCAGAAATGTGAATTAAAGTCAGTATTAATTCAATGTGCATCTTACGAATGCTTTGAGATAACAGTAGTTATTATCTTTGTTTTTTTCCAGTCTATTGCCCAACCCAAAACTTTGGACATTTTTCTATATATCTATGATGGAAACTGAAGATGCTGTAATTGAATCAGTACTCATTTTCAGAACAAGACTGGAGTGAAACCATGTCCCATTCCCTGAATAGAACAAAAAAACCTTCAAAAAAATCCTATACTAGGCATCCTTACATTGAGAGACAACTAGGAAAGGTGGCAGAGTTTTAGGAGGTTGTTATAGCTCTCCATTGGGAAAGACACGTGGCTTTGGCCAGCCTGAGTCTCGAACACACACTCAGAGATGTTTCTTGGGATGTGCTTTCTCAAAAGGCTTGGCTTTTTTAGCCAGAAAAACAAAAAACAAAAAACCCACCCACAACATTGGAGAGAGCACAGTCCCAATCTCTGGCATAAGTAATCTGACAGTAAGAGAATACCAGTTAGAATACGTTCTCGAGGAATAAGTCATAGAAACCAATTTATGTGTATATCATAGAACTGTGTGAATTGGAAGGGACCCTTATCGGTCATTTAGTCCACCCCATCTGCAATGAACAGGGGCATCTACAGCTACATCAGGATGCTCACAGCCCCCCAGCCTGACCTTGAGTATCTCCAAGGACAGGGCATCCACGACCACTCTGGGCAACCTGCTCCAGTGTCTCACCACCCTTACTGCAAAAAACTTCTTCCTTATGACCAACCAGAATCTCCCCCCTGTTAGTTTGAAGCCATTTCCCTTGTCCCATCACAACAGACCCTGCTAATCTATCCCTTTCTTTCTTGTAGCCCAGCTTTAGACACTGAAAGGCCTCTATTGGGTGTCCCCAAAGCCTTCTGATAATTGACCAGCTGCTGAGTATCAGGATCACAAGCTTTATGAGGATTAGCTAGGAGCCTGGGATTGTTCAGTCCAGAGGAAGCTCAAGGGAAACCTTATCATCCCCTACAACTGCCTGCAAGGAAGTTGTATTGAGCTGGGGGTCTGCCTCATCTCTCAGGAAACAGCGATAGGATGAGTGGTAACGATCTTAATTTACACCAGGGGTGGTTCAGACTGGGTATTAGGAAGAATTTCTTCTCAGAAAGAGAGATGAGGCATTGGCACAGGGAGGGAGCTGGTGGAGTCACTGCTCCTGGAGGTGTTCCAGAACCATGTGGCACTGAGGGCCGTGAGCATGGAGTGGTGGGCTGATGATTGGAATAGAAATCTTCATGGTCTTTTCTAGCCTTCATGATTTTATTAATGATGCCACGATTGTAGGTGGCAGGCTTTTTGTTAGCAGAAAAAAATAACAGCACCAGGCTTAGGTCGGCACCGGCACAGCTGTACTTCCCAGAGGACTGGCAGCAGTGCTCCGGGCGCCCTATGGGAAAGCGCTGAGAGGAGAGGGACCGAGAGGACTGCCTCCCTGATCTAATTCTGCTTGCTTTCAATGGGCCATACGGGCGATACAATGACACAAGCCTGAGGCCGGCAGCCAAGCTCACGGGAGGCCAGCCGCAGGCGCGCGACGGAATTGAAAAGCGGGCACGGCAACCCGCGCGGAGTTGGCGCGGCAGCGGCCGTTCCCGCCTCCGCCGGGGGGGGACTACAGCTCCCACAGCGCCGCGCGGCGCCTCCGCCGCTTCCTCTGACGGCACTTCCGCCGGGCGCTGGTGCTGTGGCGGCGGTGTGCGCGCTCATCCCGTACCGGAGGCGGCTGGGTGTCCCGCGGCAGCATGGTGAGTGGCGGGCGGCCCCGCGCCGTGCCCCCGGCGCTTCCACCCCAGGGGGAGAGGAAAAAGAAGGCGGCGCGGAGCGGCGGGGGAGCCCGCGTGTGGCGTGGGGGAGGAGATCGGGCCTGGAAGGTTCCAGACCGCGCACGAGGCGCGCCCGTTAGGCCGCGGGCGGGTCCCGGCGCCGGGTGGGGGCCAATGCGGGGTGGGCGCTCGGCCTGAGGCGCTGCCCGGGCCGGCCCTGGGAAGCGAGGGGATGGCGGCACGCTTCTGGTCGCGTCTCTTTCAGCAGACGCGGTCTGTCTCACCGTCTCTTCACCGCGTAATTCACGTAATCTGTCGGCGAACAGATCGCGATACGGATTTCAAACAAGGAATCGGTGTATTCAGTATTAATGTTCTCGTTATCAAAGCCAAATGGGCCACAGGAATTACTTCAGCATTAAAACTGTTCCTTAAGATTGCTGGTGTCGGGGTTTTGTGTTTAAAATGCGGTGTTTTGTGAAAGCTGCAGAAGTATTCTCTGCTCTCGCTGTTGTAGGCGTCCCTTTCCCTTGCTCCCGTGAACATTTTCAAGGCAGGTGCAGATGAAGAGAAGGCAGAAACCGCTCGGTTGGTAAGTTTCTTCTCTAAGATAAACTGGTGATGCTCTGGGTAATGATAGTCGTTCTTTTAAATTTAAGTTTACTTCCAGTTTGTGGCGATGTAGAGCTTCATCTGCCTCTTATTGTCTTTTGCTGTTGCAGAAAATAGAAGTGTTTTGTGTATATCAACAGAGTTCTTCTGTATCTCAGCTTTGGAGGTTCACAAGAACCTCCTAAGACTTCCTCAGAAGTCTTTTGGCTCTGATATGTAGTTTAGTGCTTACTGCAAAAATGGAATACATTTTGTCTCATTGTTGAAATGTAGCATTCAAGGAAATTGGAACTGGATTCTGCTGGGAGTTTGCCTGTAGAAGAGTTTGGTTAAGATGTCCCCTTGGAAATTACAGCTTAGCACTTACTTATTGTTTTAAAGTAGAAATAATTTTCTGAGGCATATTTGCTTTCATTACAGTCATCCTTTGTTGGTGCAATTGCTATCGGTGACCTGGTCAAGAGCACTCTGGGACCTAAAGGCATGGTAAGATAGCTGCAAGTTCTCAGTGGTTCTACCTGTTGATCTGTGGCCATGACCCATGTAAACCTCATGAAGTTTCACCAGGCTAAGTGCAAGATCCTGCACCTGGGTCAAGGCAATCCCAAACATGAACACAGTCTGGGCAATGAGTGGATAGGGAGCAGCCCTATGGAGGAAGACCTGGGTAGATTTTTGAATGAAAAGCTGAATATGAGCCGGCAACATGTGCTCGCAGTCCAGAAAGTCAACCGTTTCCTGGGCTGTATCGAAAGGAGTATAATCAGCAGAGACAGGGAGGGCATTTGTCCCCCTGTTCTCTCTTAAGAGGGCATGCCTGCAGTACTCTGTCCAAGCCTGAGGTGCCCAACACAGGAAGAGGCATGGAGCTATTGGAGTTGGTCTGGTAGAAGCCACAAGGATGATGAGAGGGCTGGAGCACCGCTCTTACGGTGACAGGCTGAAGGAGCTAGGCTTGTTGAGCCTGGAGAAACAAAGGCTCCAGGGAGACCTCAGTGCAGCCTTGCAGTACCTAAATAGAGGCCTACAGGAAAGCTGGGAAGAGAGTGCAGTGACAGGACAAGGTGTGATATTTTTGCACTGAAAGAGGGCAGGTTTAGATTAGATATAAGGAAGAAATTCTTCTCTCTCAGACACAGCTGCTCAGAGAAACTGTGGATGGCCCATCCCTGGAGGTGTTCAAGGCCAGATTAGATGGGGTCCTGGGCAGCCTGAGCTGGTGGGTGGCAGTCTTGCCCAAAGCAGGAGGTTGGAACTAGATGGTTTTAAAGGTCCCTTCCAGCTCAAACCATTGTATGATAATTTAGTTATAATAGTTGTTTTTCAAACTGTTCTAATTTTTGCATCATGTAGGACAAGATTCTCCTGAGTACTGGCAGGGATAGCACGGTGACAGTGACCAATGATGGTGCAACAATCCTGAAAGCTATTGGAGTTGACAACCCAGCTGCCAAGGTCTTGGTTGGTGAGTTTCTAACAGTCTGTCATTGTCATACTTGGAATTTCTTCACTTGCAGCTTTCTTACGTAGTTTTAACTTCTTCACAGAAAAATATTCTACATGGTGTGAGAAATTGACATATTCTGTGATAGATATTGCATATCTATACTTGAGAGCATCTGTCTGGCCTTACTTCATTTTGATGATGATCTTTAGGCACAGGTTGAGAGAGGGATGGCTTTTGACCACTGACAGGTTAGAATAGGTCTGTGTTGCAAACAAACAGGGAATTTGAAGGGTGCTGTGTTTGATTTGCATCTCAGGTTTTTCTGTGAGTTACAGTTTGACAGCCTCTTTGTCTGGCAGTAACATTCTTTTTTCCTTAAAGTAACGAGAGAGAAAAATACTCTTGATTACAGCTGCCACGGGTGTTCAGTTTGTTGTGAATCCAAGCATTAATGCCATGGCTTTCTTTTAGATATGTCAAAGGTTCAAGATGATGAAGTTGGTGATGGAACTACGTCTGTCACAGTATTGGCAGCTGAGTTACTGAGGGTGATGTATTATTGTTTTCAGATGTTTTTATATAGGCTGCATAGTCCTGGGATATCAATAGGAGATGTGTTGCTGATGCTTATGAAGTGGGCTCCCAAAGGATAGGAATACTTTGCCCCATTGCCATTAAACTGATGGGAAAAAACCCTTAGGTACTGTCTTCATGTATTTTTTGAAATATGTTTTTATATTTGTGGTCCATATAAGTTATAAATTCACAAATATTTAGATTTGGTACAGTTAAAAAAAAAAAATTCTCCTTATTTCATTTTGCTCCTTTGAAATCCTTTTCCACTATGTTAAGGAGGGGAAAGACCAACCTTGTCAAATTCTGTTGTGTGCACAAGACCTGAATTCATAACGTTCCTTGTAAACACAGCACATTGAAGATTGCCAAACGCTGTATTTGAAGTCACTGTGAAATAGATCTTAGAACTGAAGAACTCAAACTGTACCAGGGGAATCAATGGTCATGATTTGTGGATCTGAGATCAGGAGCATCTGAGGAATGGCGTGTCAGCTTGCCGACTTCCTTGCAAAAGGAACTTTGAGGGGGTTCCTTGCTCTCCTCTGGGCCCCCACTCCACCTTATGTTACAGACTTAAGTGAACAAGGAGCTGTTGTGTAACGGATGTGTAATCAAGTGAGAGTTGGCTGTTTTGTTGCATGTGTCTGGTTTCTGTTTGTATTAGAATTAGTTTTGTTTCTTAATTCCAAGGGCAGATCGTAATTGCCTAGGTTGGAGGGGGGAGTGGAAAGGTGCCTAGAATGTTCTTCTTCTCTTAGGTCTTCACTTTATAGTTCTGATGCTTTTGCTGGCATTCAGAATTTTCAGACTACTCTGAAATGTCTTTCCTAGTGAATGTAAATGTCCTGTGTAAGAAAGCTAATGATTAATTTTGTTCAAATAGGAGGCAGAATTGCTGATTTCAAGGAAGATTCATCCTCAGACCATCATTGCAGGTTGGAGGGCAGCCACAAAAGCTTCCAGAGAGGCACTCTTGAAAGCAGCTGTGGATCATGGGTTAGTAATGCATAGTTTCAGTAGCTCTTTATAAACTATTTGAGATGAAAACTTACCAGTTAGACTTAAAGAGTACTGGGAATTTTTTTGCTGTTTGAAAGAAACAGAGTGATTGAATTGAACATTTGGAGGAAAAGACTACTTTTGAGTTTGGTGAGCTGTAGAAGCTTTGTAAAACTATTGAAAATTACTTGTATTCAGAAACAGAAAATGAACAGAAATTTTCCCCATAGGCCAAAAGTCTGAGTCGTTATTTCAGATCTCTTGCTCTGATTTTAAATGTGTTTGAATCCTTTACGTGACGGCACAGGCTTTTCCAAGTGCAACGTTTTTGTTCTTAATCAGTCTGAACTATTTTTGTAGTGAAATTACACATTATAGAATGCCAGCTCAGGATTGTGGTACAAATAGTACAAGGACAGCGAAATAAGATTTTTTTTAAAGCCTTGATATAGGAAGAAGCACCAATATGTAGTTACCAGGGTGAGTTTAAATGTTTTGCTATGTTACATAGCCAAAAATCTTGGATGTAGTCGTGACATGCAGGTTGCTGATAGAATATGTGCTATTATGGTCCCTGATCAAAACAGCAAACTGCAGGTAAATCACTGTAAGGCTGAACTGATTTTGTAAAAGTAAAGACAACTAACAGTTAACAAAGTACTGTTTCAACAAAAGCTAGGCTAAATTAAACTAAAACCAGCTTCAAAAAAGTCTTTCACCTGTGGCTTCTCCAATTTCAAAATGAGTAATGGATCTTATCTCACAGCACTAAGCAGAAATACCACGATAGTGGTAGTCTGGTGGTACTTAAGGCTGTGAAATTGAGGCTTACTAATGGAGCTGTGCTGCTGCCTTTGTTGTAGTGATGATGAAGTGAAGTTCCGTGAAGACTTGATGAACATTGCAGGAACGACTCTTTCATCAAAATTACTTACTCATCATAAAGATCACTTTGTCAAGCTAGCTGTAGAAGCTGTTCTTAGATTGAAGGGTTCTGGAAACTTGGAGGCTATCCACATCATTAAGAAACTTGGTGGAAGTTTGGCCGATTCTTACTTAGATGAAGGTAAGCGTTTGTGTGTTGGCTGTAATTGTGCTTAAGAAGGGAAGCTGTTACAAGTTAGACGTCGCTATGGAAATACTGAATTGTAAGGCACGAGAGTTTTGTTTTTGCAATAATATAAATGGACTGCTGTCCTTTCTTAATTTGAAGTCTTAAAAAAAAAAAAAACCCAACATCTTTTATTACTACAGGCTTTTTGCTCGATAAGAAGATTGGTGTAAACCAGCCCAAAAGAATTGAGAACGCAAAGATTCTTATTGCAAATACTGGTATGGATACAGACAAGATTAAGGTATGTGATGGAACTACTGTTTTGAAACAGCGTTTTCATAAGCAGAATTAACTGTGCAGGCTGAACTCCTTGTTCTCTTTAATTTAGATTTTTGGCTCTCGTGTTAGAGTGGACTCTACAGCAAAGGTTGCAGAAATAGAACAGGCAGAAAAGGAAAAAATGAAGGAGAAAGTAGATCGTATACTTAAGCATGGAATAAACTGCTTTATTAACAGGTATGTTTTCTTGGAAAAGAGGTAGGGTTTATAATGCAAACACAAAGTAGTGAGGTTGTAATACAGTATGTGTATGAAGAATATTGTTTATACCTAGATCTGTAAAATTAGATGATGCTGAGGTGAGTGTTTCCTTTACACCTTTCCTTCGCACCATTCCCCTCCCCTTCCCTGCCCCCTCTCCCCCCCTCCCATTGTCCTGTACACTATTGTCCTGCTGTTTGGCTGTTCTGTAATTAGGGATCCATGGCAAAGCCCAAGTAGTCTAAGTAATGTTGCTGTAGTTTTAGCATAACCAGTGATAGATCTGTGAATCTGAGAGTCTTTTCACCTGTGTCACGTCTCACTACGTTCTGTTCTAGTGTAGGCAAAAGAGCGGTCTGTCCAGTAGACGTGGTACAGATGTGTAGAGTCCTAGAGGCAGGGCTCCAGTGAGTGGATTGATGGAAGAAAGCTTCAAAGCAGTGCAGAAAGAATTCTTAACTTCCCATTGCTATGCAGTGTTGCCTGTAAAACAGGTGGTGGCTGCCCTAAGAAGTTCAGGTAGCCATCAGTCGTTGTAGCCAGGCTAATGATATTCTAGTTAGAATGTATTAAGTCTGATTTATTCACCGGTACAGTTGATTTCTGCTTACAGCCATGCTGTAGATCTCTTCCACATCTCACATGCTTACCACTTAAATACGACTGAGGAGATGTGTGATGGGTCAAGGCAATATTGATTTACAGTAGGAAGAATCTTCTCTGTATGTAATCAGAAATGCCACCTGTCTCTTTTGAAGATAGATGATAAGTATCTATTTTCTTGAGGTGTCATCTCCAAGCTTCTGAATTCCTACAGTCCTCCTCTAATTTGGAAGGGAAAAATAATTTGGTTGTTGACCGCGCTTTGAAGAGAGGAGAATCCGTATAAATAAAGAAGCACATACTCTTCTCTGTAGTCTTTTAGCTGTGTGTGTGTGAGAAGACTGGCCAGGTACACACAGAGTTGTGTGCTGCTGGGTGTTTGTGTTGGTAAGGAACTGAAGAAAGCCTTTGCTGTGTTGTTCTAGCTCACCCTGCTATAGAATTGGCAGCTAAGCTTCTGTCAGGCACCTAGAATCAAAGGGCTTGGAATTTAAAGCATTGATAGTGTGTCATCAGAGGCAATGTATTCAGAACTATAGTAGTTGGAATTTTTTTTTAGTGGTTTTTTTTTTGTGCTGTCATTGCTGTTTGCTTGTGTGTGAGTGTAACTTTGGGTGGCTGGTGCCTCACATACAGCTGTTCTTGTAGCTTTCAGAAATCTACGTCCATGCTGCTAGTTGGCTGTCCTTTGTTACTCTGGTAACAAAGGTTGTAGAATCTTTCAAAACATCTGTTCTTTCTCTAATGGGAAGCTGTGCCTTTGCTTTAATTGTAGACAGCTCATCTACAACTATCCTGAACAGCTTTTTGGGGCTGCTGGTGTCATGGCCATAGAACATGCAGACTTCGCTGGTGTGGAGCGTCTGGCTCTTGTTACAGGTATGTAGACTGCTGTACTGCCTGCCACTTGGAGGTTGTTTTTTCTGTCTTCAGCAAATGTCAAAGATTGATCTATGAACATGGAAAGTACTTAGAATGAGCTTTATTTTACACAACTTGCATACAAACATGTATGGAGGGCTATGAAATTAACCATCAGTAACTTTAACACTAAGCTGTGGATTTATCAAATCTGCAGGTGACATCTTTCAATAGCAGGTGACTCGGTTTCTGTTTTCAGCATATAACATTTCACTTGTAAAATGATTGATTCTGAATCCTTCCTTCACAATGATGTAAACATGTTTTTTCTACCAACTGTGAACAAAGGGTGATGGCACTAAGCGAAAAATGGAAATACAAACTGGCTAAATTATCTTTGGTGTTGTAAAAATACTTCAGATTAAGTCCCTGCTTGATAAATGTTAGAAAAGTTTGAAAAGTTGAAAAGTTTTTGTAGAAAAGGGAAAAGATACTTTAGCCATGGGAAGTGCAGGATGATAAATTTTCTTTCCTTTTTTGGTCTTGGCTAGAAGTGAGGGTGCTTTTTGACTTGGTATAATCTTACATTTGTAGGTGGTGAAATTGCATCAACCTTTGATCACCCTGAGCTGGTAAAGCTAGGAAGTTGCAAGCTTATTGAAGAAGTCATGATTGGAGAAGATAAACTCATTCATTTCTCTGGTGTGGCAATGGGTGAGTGTTTTAACAGGGATGGCATGCTGCAATGTCTGTTAACTCTGTGCTAGCACTGTTCAGTTACCAGGATGGCAATGCCATGTAATGACTTATCTAACTTTTTCTGAATGCCTTGCTCTTCAATAAGGCATGATTCCTGCACAGGTACATCTTCATGCTTGAAAACTGTTCGTTTACATAACATTGAACATCTACATAAGTGCAAGTGTGGTATCCAGCATTTCTATTTGGGGTGATTAAATTGACGAGAGGAGTAGCAGTCTGTCATGCTTGAAGAACTGGCTCGCTTGTTCTAATAAGATACCAGTACCGTAAATTTCCAGGTGCTTGTTTTGAGGTAAAGGATTCACTTTCTATTAAATTAGGAAAGATTTGGAGCAGCTCACCAATGAAAGCAGTATAGTGCACATCATTTCAGTCTGCCTGTGAAATGTCATCACGCTTCCCCTCTTCCTCTCTACAGATCGATTACTTTATGTGGAATTTAATTGCGGCCATAGCTAAAACCATTTCAGGTGCTTTGTGATATCGTTGCCTTGTGTCATGTTAACACTCATCTTATTGTTTTGGTTTGTTTGTTCTAAATCTTCCTGCATTTGAACTTTGTAGGTGAAGCCTGTACCATAGTTCTGCGTGGAGCAACACAACAAATTCTAGATGAAGCTGAGAGGTCTTTGCACGATGCTCTCTGTGTTCTTGCACAGACTGTGAAGGACACCAGAACTGTTTATGGTGGAGGTGAGTATTAAAATCTCTGTGCCATGGACATGATACACGTTTTGTATTGCTATTCAACTCATGTATAAAATACTTGTGTGTCTTCAACGTACAGGTTGTTCAGAGATGCTGATGGCTAATGCTGTTGCAGAACTTGCCATCAGAACACCTGGCAAAGAATCTGTTGCAATGGAGTCCTTTGCTAAGGCTTTACGAATGGTAAGTTTGTTTAATCAGAGTGCTGGATTAATGTAAAGCTACAAGAGCTTGTTGGTTTATTGACTCCTTGTAGCAGGCAGTTGCTTCTCTATCCAGCTTCTGGTTTTCTCAAAACTCAGAACTGAAGTACAGCAAAGTATCTTGGATGAAAAATTAGGGTTTCTACAAAAGCCCTTGTGTTCTGTCTAATTTTATTTGTGCTCTAGTGCTATCCAGAAGTTTCTAGACTCCTGCTGGAGATTGCATCTTAGTAGGAATTAGAGTACTACAAGAAAATAAGTTTATAGGATATTATGCTGCTAACAGACACTCAGTGTGAGGACCAGTTGCCTTCCGATTTGTCTATTTTAAATTAGGGAAACGCCTCGTTAGGGAATTAGACTGTGAGGAAGCATCTCTCTGAAAAAAAAAAAAAGTAATTAAAGAGTGAAGTAAGACGTGGCATTACCTCTGCTGTCAGCTCGTGCAGGTTTTGCAAACAGAGCGATGTGGTGGTTGGTGCTGACCAGGAAGCTGGATTCTCAAATCCTCCAGTTGTAATTTGAAGCGATTAACAAAGAGACGTATTTCTTTCTGTTCATATAAAATATGGTGACAAATCTGCTGATGCACTTCTGTCCTCTCAGCGGTTGTCTTCCAGTTTTAAACAAACGGGTGGTTGGATTGTGTTTCCTCAGTTCTGATCAGTGCAACAGATAATCTACTGGTTTTGATCAGCTGCTCTTCTTGAAACTAAATAGGTAGCAGTGTGGGAGTGTGTGATGTTTTTGACTGTAGGAATCAGTCCATGTGTTAATTAAAACTAACTTGTGTTTGTGTTTATCTGCTTAGATCCCAACAATAATAGCTGATAATGCTGGCTATGACAGTGCAGATTTGGTTTCTCAGCTCAGAGCTGCCCACAGTGAAGGGAAGACAACTTATGGACTTGGTAAAGAGCTTGATGTTATTTCTGTTCTTGGGTTGGTGTTTGAATGGGGGGAGGGGAGTTAGACTTACTGAACTTGTTTGTCACTGATAAATTCAGCTGGAAGAACTGAGTATATTGATGGCACAGTAAGTGTGCTCATCTAAAAAATAATAATAATAAAAAAAAATGGAGAGGAATTTTGAACTTAAGGCGGGGACCTTGATGTGAATGACTTTATTTAATACCTCCCCTACTATCAGTATGGTTCATTTGAGCAGGTAAGCTGTTGGGTTGTCAGCTTCTGGTAATTTCCTTCCAAGTAAGCAAGAGAAGGAAAAAAATCCATACAAAACAAACTACTTCTTAACCTGTGCTTTCTTTCAGATATGAAAGAGGGGATCATTGGAGACATGGCAGCACTGGGAGTAACAGAAAGTTTCCAAGTCAAGAGACAAGTTCTGCTGAGTGCAGCTGAAGCAGCAGAAATGATTCTTCGTGTAGATGACATCATTAAAGCAGCACCCAGGTATGACTAGGATGTCTGCTTTGGTCAGTTCCAGCAGTATGCAGTGACCTCCTTCCATGCAAGAGTGACTGCAGAAAAAGTCTCGTTCTAAAACTATTTTATTGGAACGAAGATTGACATCTGACATGCCAGCACTTGTTATATGCGATTTATTTTTGTATGAGCAATATGAACAGGCCTTCAGAGCCATCAGTGCACTCAGAATAGTGTTCCTGAGAAATGCCTACTTAATGTGAAGGCACCATCTCCTCATGTGCCACTTAGAGTACTAAAACATCTGCAGAAGTGGCTCACCAAAATGTAGGGGCCTTTTCTTTAGAAGAATGCATAGTTGAATGTGCAGCTGCTTCTGAAATAGAATCTGCACCTAAAACAAAATTGTGTTTGTTGCAAAGCATAGGAAGAAATCTTACTTCTAGGCAGGTTATGCTGCCCCTACAAAGTAGTTTGCACTGTTTTATGACTCACAGTTCTTTCTTAGTATGGCCAAAGCTTGTGTCTTACCACAAAAGACAGTACCATCTCAAAGCTGTGAGATGAAACTAGCACTGAGTGCAAAATGTCAATTGAAAAATAAAGGCAGATGGGGGGAAGCTGGTCGACCTCAGCACAGGGGAAAACTTTCTGAGTTTTCTTTTTTCTCCCCAGAAAACGCGTTCCAGACCATCGCCCATGTTAAACTTCTCCTGGCACCTGAGACTGCGTGGACCAGATCTCACTTAGTAATTTTTTTTTAATGATTTAGTTTTTGTGAGGTTATGGAACAGAAGCTTAAGATGAGCAGCTCCATCAACAATGGCAAGAAGAAAGTGTTTTCAGCTTCTTTTAACTTATTTCGGTTCATGTGTGTTGTGGGTAAGATTCACTTCCACATAAAACATGGGCTTTATACACCGTACAGCTTCTGTTCCTTTCCATGTTCCACTTAAGATACACAGAAATAAAAAATAAAATTCATCAGTGTTGTGTTGGTCTTTGTGTTTCGTATCTTCACTCACGCTTAAGATGGTTTGAAGTGAATAGATCAGTTAATGCTAGGGTTGCTCTCTCACCTGCTGTATGTGCCATTATCACCTTCTTTAGGTTGCCTTTGTTCAGTTTTTATAAGCAGTTTATTCCAGTCCTGGCCACATAGGCTTGGAATTGAAATCCAAGTAATAGGCTCTAGAGTTGTTAGCCTTTTCTAGTGATTGTGGAGTACTGTTTGTTTTCTGATGCTAAGAAGATGAAAAGCTGAAGAGGAAATTTAGGCAGTGCCCATAACAGTAACTTAAATCACACTGCAGCCTTTTGCACTGCAAATTCAGTGTAGGATGCTTCAGAGGGAACTAGTTGGGAAGAAGTATGAACATGCTGGATTGAAGAGTCTGTGTGTGTGTTAGGTTATAGACACAGGCTGCTTGTCTTTGCAAATACCTATTATTAAACTTAGGGCAGTTGGTGGGGAATTGTGCCAAACTGCATTGCTTTCCCTTTTTTCTTCCCCTTTAGCCCAGTTTCTGTTGTGAACGGTACATTCCTTCCTATTCCAGTAGTTGGTGCAAAGGTAATGCTTTTCCTTGTTAGGCTAGTGGTGCCTTTAGCTGAAGCAGCACTGAAGCCCGATTCCAACGGCAGCCTTCACATCAGTTTTGGAGGCGATTCTCAGTAGGGCCGAGTGGCGGCGCCCCGTCTGCATGGCAGCCTGCAGAAAAGAGCTGGCTGAGCTCGGTGACCCATCTGGCCCTTTGCAGACAACACAGCACCTCGGCAAATGACGCGGGCTGTCTGCCAAAGCAGGAAGATTAATTTGAAATCAGGAAAGTATCTATCTGTGCAAATGGTTTTTCTTCCTCAAATGAAGAGAATGGACTCAAAATACTCCTCCAAATCAAAATAGACTTCAAATTACTGCAGTGACAGCACTGCCTCAATGCAAGCCTTCAAGGAACAGGTGAAAGCACATATTCCCCCACCACCCACTAAACAGAGTGCTAAAGTAGTTCTGTAGGATGTTGAGTTAAAGCCTCAAATTCTTGTCCTGTTTGTGAAAAGAAATAGGTTGTTGGAAAAAAGTTTAGGCAAGGACTGGGGAAAGGGAGGGTGCAGGTAGTTACAAAGCGAGACAGTCTGGTGAGACTCTGGAACGCTTTATTTAATGAATATTGCAAGTACACTCAGGTGCCAGCCAGATCCAAATGCAGACTTCATTTAAAATGCCAGCAAGTGTGAATAGAGTATATATTTTCAGAGAATTTTTTGAGAATGACGTTAAGCAGAAACAAACCAGTACTGGCTCCAAGGTTTCAGGGGCAGCCAGCCGTCACTGCTGCCTGTTGTGCTGGGGGATGGCTCTGACCACAGCGGAGATGGGGAGAGGGAGGTGGCTGCCCTGCAGCACCGAGGGCTGCCCGCCCTGTGGTACAGGGCTGTGTTCCAGTAAACAGCTGTGGAATCAAAAGCTAGGTATCAAGACACGTTGAACTGCGTCTCTGTTCTGTGCTAAACAATCAAAGCAAAATACACTTTAGAAAACAGAAGTTCTGTGCGTTTCCAAGGGAATCTGATGAGGTCTGAGTTTGGCAAGCTGGAGCCGTTCCCGGCTGGACAGTCAGTAACTTGCCTCAGCTACAGCTCCTGTGTGAGCCTGGAGAGGTGGGCTCCCAGCCCTCTGGTTCCACATGCAGGCTTCCCTCTGCTGCAGCTATGGTTCTCCCATTTTAGCCAGGGCTTTGGTTTTCTTTGTTACTGCATCAAACCTTGGCACGCGCAGCTGCCCCTAAGGCAGACCCTACAGGCACAAGAACCAGCAGAACCGCATGCAGCTGCCTTCACAATCATTCTAACTGCTACTTGGCAACAACAAAACCAGAGTGGTCACAGATCTTCTGGGAAGAAGACAGCAGCTGTAAGAACAGAGCTCTGCTGCACGTTGCTTCCTCTGTCGTGCTGTGGGCCGGCAGAGATCAGCAGGCCTCCGCTTCTGGCTCAGCTTTGTTGGCAGGAGGTGGTGACGGTCTCTCACTGAGCGAGATTTCAATCACAGCCCCGGAGCGCTTGCGGGGTTCGGGGCTCTCCTCCGACCACCTCCCCACCCTGCGCACCCCCTTGGCCACCTTGGGGGCGTTGCGGCAGGGGTTGTGGTCATAGATCACCAGCTTGAGGCCGGGCAGGTGGGCCAGGCTGGGGAAGAAACGGATGGCATTGCGGTCCACGTCGATCACCTCCAGAGAAGGCATGTGCAGGAGCACGGAGGGGAACTCGGCCAGCAAGTTGCCCGAGAGCCAGATGGAGCGCAGCTCACGCAGGCGCCGCAGGCGGGTGGGCAGCGTGCGCAGCGCATTGGAGCCAGCGTGCAGCGTCTTGAGCAGGCTGAGCTCACACACCACCTCGGGCAGCTGCTGCAGGCAGTTGGACTCGATCCAGAGGGTCCTGAGGTTCTGCAGGAGCCGCAGCTCGAGAGGCAGGCTGCAGAGCTTGTTGTTGCCCAGGTAGAGGATGCAGAGCTGCTTCAGCGCGCACACGGCCAGCGGCAGTGCTCGAAAGTTGTTGAAGTCTAGTGCCAGAATCTGCAGGTTCTGCAGCTGCTCCAGCTCAGGAGGGAGTTGTGCCAGGTTGTTGTTGCTCAGGTACAGCTTGACCAGTTCCCTGAAGGAGCAGATGTGCAGGGGCAGCCTCCGCAGCTGTCTGCCGCTCAGATCCACCATTTTGTCCACGGGCATCTCCTCCAGGTCCTCCAGGAGGTACTTCTGGCACTCATCGGAGGGCACAAAAGCGACAATGGCTTTCAGGCTGTTGCCCATCTCGGGTCCTTCTTTGTTCGGAGACTGAGGGCTGGGGCTGGCCTTGGCTTCCTCCCGCTGCGCGCTGGCCTGGTGGTAACTCCGTCTGCCCAATATAAGGCTCTGTTTACATGGCACCAGCCACTAATCTCAAGAGCTCTGAAATGTTCCTGATAATGGAACGAGTGTTTGGTGATGGTTGCAGACATGGTGACCTGTAGCGCAGGCCTCCTTCTGCCCCACAGTGCTTGGCGCCCCTCAGCTCCCCAGTGAGCCATCCTCCCCCCAGCCTGCACACTGCCCTGCGGCTGCGTCCAAACAGCCGCTTCCATGCCCCCTCACTGCTCTGTGTCGGTGCGGTCCGTGCAGCTGGCACGGTGCTGGGGATTGGCTGCAGAAAGGAAACACGACAGAAGACTGAATTTTTCAACTCCAACGTTTATTAAATTTTCAGCAGAAATGTTGGCTGTGATTGAATTGCTGTTCAAAATACCTGTCAGGACTTGACCGACTTTGCAGACGAGTAGCACTTCTATGCACTTGCCTTGCAAGGTGCCAAATACACAATTGAACAGTGTAACTTGCCACCCAGTACTTATCTGGAACCTTTCATACAGATCCTTGGCAAACGGCTATCTTTAGCTGCTGCAGTGTTTATGTTCTGTAGCCACGTTTACTATAGTCCCTGACATCCTGAGCCATGCAGGGCCTTCTCACTGGCTTCTGCTTTGCATCTTTCCTGAATCCCCACTTCACACACACAATCACAGCCAGCCCAGGCTGTTCTCTGCAGCCTTCCAGCTGTGTGATGGCTGTCCCTGGGCTGAGGCCCGGTGGGAAACTGCTGTGGGTGTGCATACACCAGGCCGTGGCTCTGCTGTACCTCCCAGAGCTGTGTCAGGCAGGGAAGCAGCCTGCCTGGCAGCTGGCCCTCTGCCCTCTGCAGCCCAATGCTGCCATCTTCCACACCTACTTCAGGGAGGCTATTTTCTTGCGGTCACTTTCTGGGGGTCAGGTGCTACACACCCACAGATGTGAGTGCCGGGAGGCCACGTATCCTTGGAGAAACAAAAAGCAGGACAGGAGGTTGAGAAAAAAGCAATGTCAGACAGGTTATGTTGCCTCACGATCTGCAGTTAGATCTGGTGATAGAGATCTCTGATCACCTGCTTTTAAGTGTACATCAGCTCTTTCATGTATGTTGGGTATAGGGTGCTTCCTTGGTCTGCTCTGCGTAGAAGCAATGGCATGAAGTGTATGGAGGTTGGCAGGAGTGCAGCAGAAAGGGCAGCTGGGGATGGAGAACAGTACTACAGCCTGATGCCATTGCACTGGTGCTGAGGAGCTGGGTGGAACGTGGAGCTGGGGAACAGAGACTCCTTGTGTAACCACATACAAAGGAGTTTGGTACAAACACTGCGGGCTGAGGGGTAGAATTTACACCCACAACAAAGACAAGTTAAGCCCCAGAGGCAAATCCCCTCTGAGACCTGCTGGTCGCATGGCATAGCAGCCTATAGATGAGCAGCTGTCAATAATGTGGTTTAGATATAGTTTTCTTAATAAGCCATATGGAGAGAAGTATGCAATATATGTCGTCTATAGACATAGCTATGTAGATGTATTTTTCTACTTGAATCATTTCTACTTAATGAATCTTTTAAGCTTCAGAAAACTATTTATTTGGGATTTTCTGCATTGTAGTTTAATCATTATTCTGCCTTATCAAAAAAAGTCACAATGACCTTTTATTGCTGCATTTTGTACCTCTGCTGGCTTCACCGAAGGTCTGTTTGGAACACAGTGTGAGATCAGTGCTTGGGAAAAATAACCTTCATGTTGTGGGATAATAAAGGTCTGCATTTGCAATAAAATGAACGATCCTGGACCGTCTGAGAATCACTGACTCAATGGAGGACATGAGGCAGAGATGGTCCCCTCTGCAGACCAACTGCAGTGCTCTGGAAGTCACTGCATTTGTGCAGCTGCTCCTCACGCCCTGCAACATGGCCTTAGTGATTGTCCAGAAGCATTCGTGGCATTTCAGGAAAAGTTCAAGTGATAAAGGTGCTCAGCACAGACGTTGTCTTGCTCCTGTCAAAGTGACAGTGCTGCAGTAGAGGGCTCTACTGTGCATGGAGGGTATGGGAAGGGTTTGTGAACAGTGCTGCTGCTTTCTGAGAGCTCTACATTGTAAAACTCTCTCTTTGGTCAGGCTGGTGTATTAAAGCAAGAAGCTCGAAGAAACAGTTTTGAGAATAGTCCTCGCTAATTGCTGCAAATCATCTGATATAGATTTATTTTAAATCTGTGGCTGGCATTTAGATCCCTTCTTCACTCACCAATGTTGTATGTTTGTTCTTTTTTCTTCATTGGAACATCACCCGTAGAGCAGGTGATGACTCCTTATCTTGGCCAGGTTTTGTCATTCATTCTTTGTCATGCACTTTCAGATTCCAAAGGCTCAGAAAGTCCCATAAGGAAACAGGCTGTGTGCTAAGCCCCCTCCCAGGGGGCTGGTGGGCTGCTCTTTGCTGTCCATCACATCACTCTCTTTTTAATACCGTTGCTTTCCTGGCAGCCTGAGGTAAGCTCTGGTGCCAGGTGGAGTGGGAGCAGCCAGGAACAGAATCAGTCCAAGTGAGCTGCTCCGAACCTGCACAACAGAGCTCTGGATCGAAGCAGCCTTAGCCGAGAAAACTACTGGCTGTTTATTGCTTTGCTGTCTGTTTTACTTTTAAGGCCCATTTATACATATTCTCTTGGGTGGCAATCATAATTATTTCTGGGCCAGAGCTCTTGTGTAAATAGGGGATTAATTTTCAGTTGTTAGAGAATGGCTTCTCACCAACCAACCAAGCGCCCATATGCTCAGTACTTCTCCATGTAGAAGTGAGTCAGTTGTGTGTTCTGTCTTCTCTCTCTGCCTTTGACACTCCTGGCCTTCTTGTCATTAAAGCAAGCTTGAAAAATAGTTTATGCAGAGGGAAGCAGGCAGCTCCTTGGGCTGTCTTCTCTCTCCTGTGCTAACAGGAGCCAAGATTCCCCCATTTATTGTAATTACGTGAAAGATACTAATGATTGTCAGTAAACATATTTTTGGTCTAGACTGTGCCCTGGCTATCAGTGCTCAGCTTCTCTGGGCACCAATATTTGCTCAATCCAGTGCTTGCTCTGAGAACAAATCCCTCCGCTTGCTGCCAGAGCTCTGACCTCCTCTGATTGATTGACCTGGCGAGCAGCTCCCTCTTCATAGTGGTGTATAAAAAAGGGACTTCAGAGGAAATGAGTGTTGTTGGACTCAGGGGCAGCTGAAGCCATGAGGGCCATACTGCTGACTGTGGTTTACATCCCCTTCACCATGGCCTTGCAACGGTAAGAGTGTGCCGGGCCTCCCTGGATCCTCCTGTTCCAGCTGGCTCCTGGCATGACAGCGATTATTCCTACTGGGGTCTCCAGAAAGATACAAAGAAAAGCATACAAGGACTCCAGGAAGGAGATTCAGTTAGCTTTCATGTGATTTTTTTATTTGTGTAGGGTCCCACTCGTTCGATTCAAATCTATCAAGACACAACTTAAAGAAAAGGGAGAATTGGAGGAATTCTGGAGGAACCATCACCCTGACATTTTTGCTCGGAGACACCTCTATTGCTTCCCTCCAGATCTCACTTTGTCAGTAGGAACTGCTTCAGAAAGGCTGTATGACTACATGAACGTAAGTATGGTTATGGTAATGCAACTGTATGGGCTCTCTTCCACTGAAGGCATATTTTTTCAACTTGAAATGGACAACACTTGAAATAGAGTCTCTCCATTGTAGGACTTGAGATGGGAGACTCATTGTAAATACTAGATCATCACAATTAGTTTAACGGTCTGCAAAACGCAATGTGTATAGATAGAGGCTAATATGGGACCTTGACAGAAAACTGATATAATTTATCAGGAGTAGTTCTGTGATGAGTTTGATTTCTGTACAGATCTGTTTTGGCCTTCATCAGGTCTTCAAAGAAAGGTGGAATGCTTGTGTCTATCAATCTGGGGTGAAGGCTGGGCAGAGTCAGATTAGTTCAGATTTATCAGAATCTTGTATGTTTACGTGTTATAACAGATCCCCAGATCTCATTTATTTCATCACTTGGAGTCATAAATCAGTGATAATGAGGACCCAAATAGAGTTTTTATTCTTTTGCTTTATCTGCTGAGTCTAATGTGTGTTGCATATTTGTGACTGACCTGGGTCTCTATGCTGAGAAAGGAAAAATCTGAGTTTCCTTGGATCTGAGACAGGCAAGTGAGCAGGTCAACCATTCTGTAAGTGTCTCTTCTGGTTTTAGCATTTTGTCCATTTTGTTGGTCTGTTTCCTGCTTCGGTTCATCTGTTATGTTTGTCTAAAGCAAAGAGAAGCTGCAGAAATGTTGTAGAGGCTGCTGTGGGCAGTGGGGGGAAGGTGAATTATTCAGAAAGAGCTTTCTGACATTTGAGGCTTATGAAGAAGTCTCCAGATAAGCTGGAGATGTGAGTGAAGAAGAACAAAGGCAGAAAGTTTTCAACCTGCTCTTAGACTTATCGAAATAACTAAACCAAAGCTACTTCCCCAGCATATCCAGCTTGCATCTGTAACAGTTTTGTGAGTGGTTTTTGCAAGTTTCTGGGATTTTTTATTTTTATTTTTTTACTGAAGTAACAGGGGGCTGCCTCAGTTTATAGGTTGTTTGATGCAGAAAGAAAGGACTCCCTGCTGTACAGCTGGATATTCTAATATTCTGTTACATTGCATGCGTGTTTGCATTATGGTTATCTTGTTCAGACTGTAAACTCCAGGGTCACAAGCTGTATTCAGTGTATTAATTAACAAGCATACACTTGAAGATACATACTCAAATACTTTTTACTGTTACAAAAGACTTGTGCCTTTGAATTCCAGAAATGCTTCATCCTATAAATAAGTCTCTTAATGCTAAAGTGCTCTTTCATGGCCAGATACGGGCACTCAGACAATTGCATGCTGCGTGTTGAT